TGGGGATGAAGGAGCTCCTCTCTGTTAGTAGAGTAGCCAGCTTCGCTCCATGTGGGAGGTCAAATAGCAGTCCCCTGCATATCGAACACCTGGAACTGGCACTGACTATGCTGAGCACGCTGCTGCATCACAAAGCAGCACACAGCAGATGGGATGTTTTAAACATCATGGAGAAAAAATGGAGTGATAAAAATCCAGTTATCCATCAAACCTGTGCTTTCATGCACTACACAGCTATTAAATTACATGTATTTGTGAATCAAGATCTAAACTACAACACTTCCGACAGAGTGTAAAAATATTTACTGAACACTGAGTTGTTCCCCTCGTTGAAACTGACCTAATAACCTCTGCACATACTGCAAAATCACATTATTCTGTGCAACTGCCTTACTCAGCCTATTCTGTCTGGAGTCAATTTTATCTGCTCCTCTGTCAGCAGAGCTGAACAGTCAGTGTCTATGTGAGGTGGCAGCTAACGCTGAACCCACATCCCCTCTGACTGATGTCACTCATTTCCAAGTCAAGAGATAAACGGGCAAATGGGTCACCACCCAATTCACATAACATGGATATCTCATCTACACGTAAATGTCCTGACATGGAGCAAATGGAGAAAGGAACTGATTTTAATAGAGTGTGCATAATTAGAATCTGCCTTGAAAATGAGGGAATTAAGACTTTGCATAGATCACCCTCCAAAAAAAAAACTGTCTTAGCTGCTCCGAACAACTCAGCAAATATCTGGTGTCCTGCATCAAATGACACAAGTTAAAGTTTGTGCTACCTACACCTCACAGATAGTTTCTGACTCAATCAGCCTGTGACCTTACTTCACCATGTCAATATTCCAATAGATAATACTCTATAAGCAACTTTCCCATTAAACTTCTTGGATTTTACCTTCAATGTACAGTTAGTACATCATACATTATCGAACACTGTGTTAATGTGAATTAAAAGCCGTGTAATATTAATGTGATATGATGTGGATATATTTGGTGCAGTTGTGGCTTCTTTAGGTAGGATAATGAACTCTTCCATTTCCTGAAATGGTACATTTAGCTTCTTCCTCTGTAGGAAGTTACACTGTGCTGATGTCAGTGAAACACAACTTCACAAAGCCGGCAGCTTCTTGGCGTAGCACCCTTTTTATTAATTCATGGCTTTTGATGGAAACCATCCAAAGGCAAACCATTTTGGCATTCATTTTTTTTCAGTTTCTACCTTTAACATTCAGTTTCTGTATCTGTACTGTCGTTTCTTACACAGGCTCTGTTCTAATTGAATGAGGGTTGGTTATGATTTGCTACATATTCATTGATAGCTGAGCAGGTTTTAACATAATAACAGCATGAATAGGCAGGATGTCAAGGTGGCCTTCAAATTTCTGATTGGAGCAATCAAGCTTTGCTTCAAACAGTGAAACTGACACTGTTTTGACAGCATGTGACTATGCATGTGTAAAAAGATCCTGTACCATTAATCTCCTTATGAACATCACAGCTAAATCTGGCACCAGTATTATCTGATCAAATGTGATAAAGCAAACACACATCTCAAGCAGATTTCATTTGCTCTTCTACATACTGTCTGTGCGCATGTGCACAGCAACCTGTGTGGTGTGTCACGCGCGTGTGTCCTCACCATGCGAAAGCAGCTTCGAACACTTGGTTCTACGTTGCTTCCACCGAAAGCAGCGACTTCACCCAACTGGCGGGGAATCTGGATGGCTTCATGAAGCAGCAGGCTGAGGTGACGCTGGTCTGTCAAACCTCCAGGACCAGACACTTGACGGAATAAATCTGCAGAACATGCGTGCAGTCGTCAATCAATTATGCAGCTACTAATGTGATTATACGCCAGCAAGTGTAACAGCATTAATTGTGTTCAGTGCTGGTATGCATGAAAAACAGTTATTTGCATGTGCATTACCATCACATCTGCATGCATTTTTCATACACATGTAGAGCTGTTGATTAAAGGCATTTGGATTTACTGCTACTGCTTCTTTTAAGCTTTTTAAAATGTCACAAATCAAAATGCAAGCCTTTAAAAAATATGACACTCTGCCTTTAAAACAACAGTACAACTTTACTAAGAATGTAAGAACTGCATGATGAGCAACAGCACTGCAAAAAAGCAGTTTTTCATGTATTTTATTCACAATGAGCCTCAAATTCCAGGCATGAAGCTCACTTAACCTCGTTTTGAGGAATAAAATTCATTTCAGTGACACATAGACAGGGCAGAATCAGTATTAGTGGCCTGGCTGGTCAAGCTTGGAGATGAAAGAGCTGCATAAGTAGAGTCTTGTTAGGTTTTGAATGAGGCCTTTACCAAGCTGGCAGGGAGTCTGCCCGTCACTGAGGAGATGAATACTGACAGGCGTGTGAGGGTCCTGCACAATGAGAGTATAAGCATCCCATGTATCCCCCTCACCGTGTACTTACTCAGCTCTACAGGGACAATGCTTCGCTTTAGCACTTGCATGTTAAACAGCCTCCTCTATATAGTCGTCATAACAAGAGCTCAGGTGTGCTTGACATTTTTAATGTTCTCACCGAGCTGTTTGATGGAGACAAGTTTGGGATATGTTTTATGGAGACACTACCACAGTATATTGGTCTATTACATCCTAAACGTGCAGCCTGCAGTGATGCAAAGTCTGCTGTAGCTAATTTCAGTCTGGACCAAAGTCGTGGACCCACTAAAGCTACAAGTACAACGAATATAAAATAAAGTCAAAATGTGCAACTGCACTGGCTTTTTTTTATTTTACAAAAATATATTCAAAAATGTGTTTTTGTGGAAGAATTTAAGAGGACTGAAAATGTTTCTGATGTGAAAATTAGTAGGAGAAGCAGACGACAGAACAGTAAGTGGCGCATGTCACATTTAGTTTGAAAGCACAAATTTTAATGTCTGCAAAGAGGAAAATGTTAAATAAAAGCAAGTGACTGAAGATGTAGCAACAAAAGGTACTACTGAATTAATAATTTCAGCATATTCCTTTTTTGAATCACAAGTCACACACTGGTAATGATGGAATAAATACCCACCATCTGTATCTCAGAGCAGGTTGATGCAAATGCATCAGATTTATTTGCAAATATTATTCCTGTGACGTCTGGAGTTGGCAAAAACGAAATCAGTCAGGGAAATGACAGACTGTTAGGGCCACCACATGTCTACCTGAACCCAGAAAAAGAGGGCTGACTCACCTCAGGGACCATTCAACTGAAGGCAAATCTGTTATGTTTCAGTCTTAGACCTGACACAGATGGTGTGCCAACATGAATAATCCTGGCATGGGTTTGGAGAGTGTTGCCTCACATCCTGTATCAACTACAAGCAGTTCCAAGTCCAACTATCATCAATTCAAATGCTCGCTCTCCATTTTTGCCTCTACTTATAGGGCGACTCGTAAACTGGGGTTACAATAGAACAGTAAAAACGCATCTCAGGCCAGAGCGGAGCACCAGTAAAATATTATAGCATAATTTATAATCCACAAAGGATGAAGGGAGTGCCTAAGCTCTTTGCTAGTCGACTTGTGAAGGGAAAGAAATGAGTGAGAGCTATAGAAAGAGAGTGTACATGAATGGTGTCTTTGGCAAGCAATCCTTTTAAGGCCTCTGGTGTACTTTGTACGAGTAAAGAAAGCTTTCTCCATTATGGCACCACACTCATTTCCTCCATTAGACTAAGTGGATGTCTTTATGTAATACTGGCAATCAGTGCCGTTTTGTTTTGGCTCATTGTTCGCTGTTGAGGAGATGCATTAGGCACACGAGCAAGCAACAGACTCACATTTGTACTTCTCCTGGACGTCCGCATTACACAGGCTCACCAATCCCATCTTGAAGCTCAGAACTCGCATTTTGCCATTTCGAGCACTGGAGGAAAAAAAGCGAAGAAAAGAGAAAAATAAAGTTCTAAGGTTGCAATTTTTGAACGGTCGATAATCTCAGATCATGGTGTACTGGGTCATGATAATATATTCATACACTCCCTCAGCCCTTCTGGGAGGGACAAAGTGTGGAGGAATTACATGGGTCAAAGCAGTACAGTACAGGTCAGTGCAGAAGTGTGAAATTGTATTAGAGTAACTAAAGGCACTACAGGGGCTTGATGAAGTGTTGTGTCCATGGATTTGTGCCCAGAGGAGCGATAACAAGCTCAGATACACCACAATGTCGCTTAGAGACAAACACATGCATGCATACAATGTAAACACACACATATATCACGCACATATGCAACGCTAGTGAAGCTCAAAAGTACTATCCCCTGCTAAATAAGTAGTCTGATCACTGGCCAGTAGCAAAGCCAGTGACATGGACACTGCTGCACACATGAACTTGTTTTCAGCTTGAGATAAAAAATAACATGAATATGAGGAAGTAACTTTGGAAAGACTGAATTTGAGAGGCAAACACATCTTCTCTGTCCACAGCTCTGGTGCCAACACACCCTGGAAGAAGTGAGTGCCGAGCTGTGCAGCATTGGCAGAAAGCAGGCTTATCGAATTAACATTTGAATCGTTAACTGAGAAATCAAGAACATCACATTCATCAGAGAACATCAGATCAATGAAGTATGAAATTGAATCAAAGAGCGAGTTAAATTTCCAGAGCTGGATATTGCTTTGAATGTCTTCAAAAGCTTGGACACCGTAGGGGGACAGTTTTTTTTTTTTTTTAATTCACAGATAGTTCGAAGTTGTGAAAAATTACTCAGGCCAGACCAGCGGACTCGGGTTAAAAAAAAGAAAAGAGTCACATTGAGAAACATGAGAAGTCATAAGGAGGGTATTGCTGTCATTCCCATATTCGCATCCGGAGGAGTTCAAGAGCACATCGAGGAGCATGCACCCCGGGGCTGCTCCCCAGGGGACGCATCACTCCTGCACACCCTGCGAATGCGACAACCCGCTCGAGGACACACACATACATACGAGGCGTGCACTTCATCCTGTGACTTACTGTAACGTAGATTCATTGGCGCAAACACAGATGCATTCGGATGCACAAACAAACACACACCTCATTCACATTCCCTGCTGCTATTCATTAGAAAACAAAAAGCAATTACGAAAATTTATGCGGGGGCTAAAGTCTCTGATTGTCTCTCATTAGCAGCAAGTAGTTAAGAGCTACCGACCAAATTTACAGCACTTGTGGGGCTGTTCCTGTATGTCTGTGCTGTGGGCTTTTCTCTTTGGAGACACAACAAAATAGTCAATCAGGAACAAAGATGGGTGAGTGTTGGTGTCAAAGAGGATTTGTGTCTACTGTGTCTCAGAGGGGATGATTGGCCCTCTGCCTGGACATTGTTATTGGAGCTTTAGCGGTGGTTTGACTGGTCGTAGACGTCTGTACTACAAGCCATTGAACCGGTTACATCAATCTGCAGGCGGACTGCTGTTCTGTGACTGTTCCAAATGGCTTTTTAATAGCAACTGTTCTATGAAATCGCAAACAGTAGAGTGTGTCTGCATGTATTTATTTTAATAACGCTATTTAACTCTAATGCCTTCTGGTGGTATAAAAGTAGTGGTATAGTAGTGTGGATGGCGACCTAAGCATCATACCTAATTCTAGCATTTAACCTGAACAGATTTAATGTTCAGTTGGTAGGAATCCACCAGAATGAATATGACAGTTCAGATTTAAAATAACAAATCAAAATCACATCCAGCAGTGTGGGTGACTTCCATTAAAGTCAATAGGCCATGTAAAATCTGAATTTCTCCCTTAGTGACAGACAGGGGTGCTACTCAGCAAGACCATGCTCTGTGCAGTCAGTGGTGGCTGCAAGCTTTATTGCACGAACACTGATACTGCACTTTCTAAGCTTTGTATATATATATATATATATATATGTGCCTCATGTTGTTATTAAATTCTCCTCCATTTTTGCCTTAATATAAAGCTTTATGAGCATTAGAATGAGTTTTTAAACAAAAGTGCTTCACTGATTTAGCATTATGGTCCAAGAATAAAAGCTGGCACCTACTTTACCTTCAGGGCAACTTGGTCAATACTAGTTTGGTTCGAACCAATAAACACAAGCAGAGATGAAGAACAAGCTACAGAAACCTGGTATAAACTTTAACAACCCATTTTCATGTTGCCTTAAACTTGCTATCTGAAAAACTTTTTTTTAAGTTTTTTTTTTTTTTAAACATTTGCAGTAGTACTCCCCAAGTCCTAAAAAGCAGACTTTGGCAAGTTGTATAACCACCTTGGATGATGGCCAGTGAGCTTAGGTCTTTGATCATTCGTTCTTTTCGGCCCGCACACATGCTGTATGATCGACGCCCTCTACTCAGTAAAAACAGCGAAAATACAGCGCACTTGAAAAGTTAATCATCTCTGGAGGTAAAGACATATTTCTCTCTGGAGTCGGTGGAGACTGAATAAGAGCAAAAAAAAAAAAAAAGACGCGATAAAATATTGGACTTAAATTTACAGGAGGCAAGAATCACAACTCCAATGTGTTAAATCTATGAAGAAATGTTACAAGGCTAATGGGTTTTCAGGAAGCTTAAGGAACATTTCACCGCGGCTTACCCACCTGTCATAGACGTTGAGCAGCCAGTTGAGACACATATCAACACAAAGAGGAATGTTGACCAGGATGGACCTCTCCTCCTCCAGCCTCTCGTACAGAGCAGTCAGGCCATGAATCACCTCCACCACATCCATCACATGCTCTCCCTGCTGTAGATCCTGCTCCCGAAACACCTCCACAAGGCTGCTCAGTGCCACCAAATCCACTAAAGACAACGCAGGAATGCATTAAGGAACACAAAAGTTAAAGTTAAATTCTTCCCTATTTGCCTGCACATTCAGAAACCGCATAGATTTTTGTGTATGTTTTTACAGCATGTTTGATTGTAAATATAGCCACGTACAGTATGTTTCTGATATGACACATCTTATGTGTGAGTTCAATTATTTTTCTATAGTTCATGTATACAAGCATGCATATAGATGTGCTGAAGCCTAAACACCTACGCTTATACATACACGAGTGCACATTCATTTGCGAACACAAACGCACAGAGACCCACAGTGGGATCGTCATCCTCACCTCAGCAAATGAGAGCACAAGCGACAGCAGTGCTTATTCACCCTTTTTGCCCACTTAAGCCCGACCAGATGTTTCAAGAGCAGTGACACAAATTTGATTTCGCTCTTCTAAACTAATTTGATGGCCCATCCCTAGGAGTGGAGCTAAAAGGGTGTCCGTTGATGCCAGGTATAATTGGATAGCACGATAATGAGGTAGAACAGAGAGAGGAGATAACAGGAGTGCTCTCAGCGTTCGAAGGGAATCACCTAAAAATGTATTTCTGATGGGCTCTTGTACAGCAGCGCTCAATCATTCACAACGTGTGAGAAGAGAAAGAGTAAGAACTCTGCAGTTATCGAGGCAGCCTGGCAATTAAATTCTGTAACGATATCAACTAGTAGACCAGAGGAGGGTGAGATAAGAAAGCGGGCAAGAGAAAGAAAGTGGGAGAGTCACTGAAAGAGGTTTTTCACAGCATGCTGAGTTTTTATTACAGCAACTCGTGACATGGAACGGAGAGAAGGTTGCAGGAAGGTTACAAGAGAAGGCAGACCAGGTAAAGAAAGAGGATGAACATTAGTTGGAACATGTGCAAAGCTGGACACTTTCAGGGACAAATACGAGCAGTTCGAAGGCTGTTTGAGAACCGAATATGTTGGAAGCGAACTAGATGTAAGGAAGAAGAAAAAAGAGGAGGAGAGTGAAAGAAGGTGAGGCCATGTTGGAGGTAGTTGCCCTGAAGGGACACACAATCAAGCGTCAACCATGCAGCGAAAACTAATTGCCTTCGATTTTGTAACTCAAATGGACCAATTAATAGCTAATTATCCAGCATGCTAACGATGCAGACCATGATGAAAATGGGGAAGGGATCTGGTCGTTGAGAAGCTCTGGTAGCTGTAGTGGCGATTCAAAGTCAATAGCAGTGGCGAGTGCAGAGAATATTTTCAACTACTTATCCAAGTAGGGTAGAAAGGAGAGAGGATCCTTTGGGCAAGTGAATAAAGAAATGTGCCACAGCTAATCGTTATATCTCATTCCCAAAGAAAGCTTGTCATAGTGGATTACTGATGGCGCAGGATAACAGTATATCACTTAACCAGCCATTCCTGCGCTGCCACAGGAAAAAAAAATCATCAGTGAAATACTGTACGTACGTCGCAGAGCCTTCTGAACTCGACGCAGCTTCATTGCTGTTCTGTACGCTGAGAACTTGATGTTGTTCAGATCCGCTAATGGAAGCAGAGAGATAGAAAGAGATTAGAGAGATGAGAGAAAACAAACCCATCCTGCACCACTCCAGCCTGCTATCGAGGAATTGGCCATCACTATCCTCGTCCCTGTTTATCACATCACTGCAGAAGTCATTAGTCGTTTGCTCGATTACTAATATTGTCTGCGCGTGTGTCTACGCGCATGCATGTAGTTATCCAGCTGAGCATGTGTATGCGGCAGCCCGCATATCTCTCCTGCAAGCTCCTTGCATCAAATCAGATTAACAGTAAAACACACGATGTCGTTTAATCACAATTAATTAAAGGCTAAGCGAAAAGCAATCACAGCGCTGGCAAATTGGGCCTCGTAGGTTAATGACAGCAGCGATGTAATCCCTAAGGTGTTTGAAATACAGGTCCCTTAATGAGCTGTGTGACACGGCCTTCAAAGCACAATCCCATGTGGTGCCGTGCTACTGGTGCTGCTGCAGCCCAGTGGGGGTCCTGGGTGACCGAGCATGAGGGTGCTTTAATTGTCTCCTTACTCACCCAACGCTTGGTACAGTTCTGTCATCTTTGGATGATCCCAGCACGTCGTCTGGGCCTGATGGCTGACAGAAAAATGAAACAAAGGTGGAAGATTTCATGAAGCAGGCAAGAGTGGAGGTGCACCTTTTTTTTTTCCAGTCCAGAAAGATCAAGGTAAAAATGGAGATTTTAGACCTGGAAAGTGCAGACATGCGTCAAACATGGTGAAGGGTTCACAGTCAGGCATTAAAGTTATGCCAACCTACTGTTCTGCTGGAGATATACTGACAGTGACTTAAAAGGCTTCAGTCAGAAGTACGACATGGAATCCAAGTCACGCCGGCAGCAAAAACATACATTTACACCACCTTCCTATCCGAGGACTAGCTCTCTGGGAACATTCAGAAAATGTACCATCTATAATATAGATCCAATAAAAAGGACAGAAAAATAAATGAGAAATCCCAAAGAAGGAGCTCTGCCAGGACCCAGGGGCCTTTTAGGGCAGCACTCATCATTTTACCTGTGGGAGCACTCATTGATTGGTACCCAGTGGAGTGCTACTCAGATATTACTTCTGTCCCCACTAGAATAGTCATACAGCCCATGAAGAGCTGACTAGCAGATTTAAACTAGACCCATGTGGTTTTGTTGCAAATGATTATTAAAATCATCTGTAGATGAATGAACAGTAAATGCTTGCACAGTTACAAACCTAAAGGTGTGTTCGTGCCCTCCTGCATGAACACACACCTTGAAACACATCCCAGTTCATTGACAAAACCAAGAGTGCTCTGAAGGGGAAGAGCATTGATGAGGTAAATAGATAAACAGATCAGTGCTGAGGCAAACAGAGCTCACGGTAGCTTAATAGAGTTTCTTTTTGAATCACTTAGTATTTATCCCCTCTGACAAATGTTTGGGTAATGTAAAGATCTTTGAAAACGTGAATAAATATGTGCTGAACCGACAATAACAGGTTATTATACTCTACGCTGTTGAATTTGCTCATCCATATGACACATTGTCTCACAATGAAACAAACTAGTTTTTTTTCTACTTGTAATTGTTGTCAGGAGGAAAGTTTTCCATGATTCCATCCTGTATTGAAATAATTTATAAATTACTTTGTAGTCAGAGTAGATTATATTTTAAAAAGAGTTATTATGGTAAAAACTGATTTGTCTAGGCTTGGGTTGGATTTTAGCAGCTGAAGGTGCTTTAAAAGCTTTAAAAGCTTTAAAAGCTAAATGAAGAGCTCTTAATGCCACCCACATCTCGGATTTCTTTAGCGCGCTGGCCTCACTGATAGACTTTGTTTCCAGCTGGAAAAACAAGATGTCTTATTTATGTGCTACAAAAATAGTGATAAGTGAGGGTGACATGACCGTCGCTAAAGCAGATAATAATGTTTTTGTGATCAAACATTTCCCAGGTTTCAATGTTGACTGAAGCTGATGTATTTGTAGCTGATACATTCGTCACTAACTTCGACTCCAAGTGAGCAAATACCAACATGAGTATGATGATAGAGGTAGAATCAGAAATGGTTTATTATCAAGTTATGATGACACCCTTTAAAGCCGGGGTAGGCAGTGTATATTTTGGTAACACTGGACAAAAATTACAACTGTTTTGAGAGGAAAGTTGTGTACATTTTCAGGCTTTACAAAATCTAGTTTGTGATGGGAGATTTTAGTCAAATACTTGTCTTTTTGCCCAGAGCAAGCATGATGATATAAAGAGTAACAAAGTCCAGAGTGAAAATAGGATGGTGATGGTTAGGTTACACGGAGGAACTTCTCTCTTGGGTTTAAATCCCATGTAAGGTTAAAGATGAATGTTGACTTTTAGCCTGATGTCTTCATCTGGTGAAAGGGGCTCAGGGTGTTGTTTGGTCTAATGTTTCACCAACTTTTTTTGAAATAGCACCATTTGAACAAGCTGTACTCTACTGCTCCACCCCTGCTGGGCTGTCTTGACTGGGAAAAAAATAAGAAAGTGGATGAATCCAGGAACACTGCCAGCCAGTTACACTGGCTTTAAATAGAAATAGTAGAGTTCAGTAGTAGTGTGGAGCTTTGAAAACCAAATAATTTTAAACTAGCTTTGGTTTCAAATCAAAATTAATTTCTGCCAGATTGGCTGTAGTTTGATGTGTAATTTGAGAGAAGTCACGATGCCTGAACTGTTCATGTTTGAACAGTCTGATGATTTCTGTATCTCTGGTGTGTTTGAATTTTCACTCGGCTGGGTTTCACTTTGAGCAGTTTTAGACCCATTATACAATGTAGAGAGCGTGTTTTACCATTGTTGGAGTGGTTATTTTATGTGTTGTGTCTTGAATAAAACTTAATCTTCCAGCTTTGTCTCCATGTTTTTCTTTTTTTCCTCTGACTTTCCATTCACAATAGAATTGCACAAAGTAATGCTATTTTTCTCCCCCTTTGTCCGCGTTGCAGAAGATTGAACTTTATTGGAATTGTTCAGGAACAACAATAACTGTGGTTCCAGGCTTATGTATAGTGTAAGCAGCGATGTCATGGCCTGTCTGTTGATTTGTACGAGGCGTTGAAAGGCCCATTAAAATGTGTAGTGTAGAGTTAACACATTGCACAAAAGGTAAAAATGCCCTGTGTCTACAGTGGGTTCATCATTCCAGTTCGTCAAAAAAAAAGGACAAATTGCCCATTTTAATCCAGCCACTTAACCTGCCATGAAAAAAGTACATTCGCTCTGACAATGGAGACCCGGATGTTGCACTTACTTGATGTAGTAGGGCACTTTGTTCGGGGAGATGGCACGCTCCCACGGTATCTGCACTGAACCTGTGCAAACACAGACAGACAAAATCAATTTCAAAATAGGCATGTCATGGATGAAAAAACCATTGTATACAATGTCCCTGACAGCGTGTCCAGACACCGTGTCCATTCAGACCTTAACAGAGCTGCTCCGGTGTACAACAGCCGCAGTAAAGCCAAAGAGACAAGTCTATTGTGTGGGGTTTCCACAGAGTGTTGGTTTGTTTGGCCCGGCCTAATAGAATATGGGAGGTAGAGGAGTCGCTGAGACGAGATGACTGTAGCATTGTAACCGGCCTCCAAACTGAACCCCGGGGGGTTCAGCGGAGGATCAAAGAGGACAGGGCTGCATTAGAAGAAGCGATAGGCAAACAGCACACAACAATGCACTGACACAAAAGCATACATGTAACAGTCTATACAAACACATCACGTCACTTTTCATTGTTGTATTGTGACATAGCATGACGCAGACCTCCATGTTGTTGCTCAGTATATGTGAAAAATACACACATATACACAGACTAAGATAGATTCACAAACCTGGAGGGGGTAGAAGTCAGATCCTTAAATAAAAGTACCAACATCACAATATAAAATTACTGTACAACGAGTAAAAGTCCAGCATTCAAAATTTGGCTCAACTAAACTATCAAAAGTGAAGGCATTGTGATTGACATAATAGGAAAGGGGGGGAAAAAAAAGTTGTGCTACACAAATATGAATGCTTTCTCTTTTTTTTTGTTTACTTTTTTCAAATCTTTCCTCTTTGAGCATCACGCTGTTTAAATAAAACAATTTTAGAAATCCAAAGTGAAACTCTCACTTTGGTGGAACTGCTAAAATTCATAGACATCTAAAACATAATAAGGAGTTCTAATTAGACACAGCTGTTAACAGGGAGTCCATCCATCCATTATCTATACACTGCTTAATACTCTGTAGAGTTGCGTAGAGGCTGCAATCTATCCAAGTGGACTTACGATTAAGGTAGGAGACACCCTGGACAGGTCACCAGTCTATTACAGGGCCACACAGAGAGACAGACAACTCAAGCACACTCACATTCACACCTATGGACAATTTTGAACCACCAATTAACTTCAACATGTTTTTTGAATTGTGGGAGGAAGCTGGAGAACCTGGAGAGAACCCATGCTGCACGGGGAGAACATGCAAACTCCACGCAGAAAGACCCCAGGCTGAGATTTGATCCCAGGACCTTCTAACTGTGAGGTGAAGGTGCTAACCACTGCACAAAAAACCACTGACTTAATCTTTAACATTGTTTTGTATTTGTTTTATACCATCCAGTGCTATTGAAGTACAAAAGAGGAGTAAATGTATTCAGTCATATTGTACTGAGGCAAAAATCCAAATATATATAGAATGTGCAATAAAGGCTAATCCATGCTTTTCCTGTGGCCACAATGGTTTGCGTATCATAGATATTGTTATCTGCCAACATCCACAATCACCAGCGCTGAGCCCTCTGCAAATATTTGTACACAGCCAAAGATTTGTCACCACACAGACTCTATAAGATAAGATTCAACTTTATTGTCACTGAACAGAGTATGACAATCTTCACATATTCCAGTTTGTTAGGAAGTTGGAGTCACAGCACAGAGTCAGCCCCACTTCGGCGCCCCTGGAGCAGATGGGGTGAAGGGCTCTGCTCAAGGGCCCAACAGTGGCAGCTTCACCGCTGAGCCACCACTTCCCTGTGTAGTCTGCACACATGCAGTGACGGTGGCTCAGGTGGTAGAGCGGGTTATCCACCTATCGCAAGGTTGGCGGTTCAATCATCGGCCTCCCCATGGTGCTGAACCCCAGTGGGAGGCTAGCGCCTTCCTCTGTCACCATTGGTGTGTGTGTGAAATCAAATGGTGCTCAAAACAAACTCTTGATTCATTAAAAGAGCTGTATTTGAATAAGTTTTTGCTTTACTTGAAGGTGCTTTGATTTACACATGCTTTCCATCAACTGTGCTCAAACTCAGTAGGAAGTTCCTGTGTTATATCCGCCCACTGCACACAGAACACCTTAGGAGTAATCACATTTACACGGAGCTACAGCCCAATCCGTATCTAGTTGCTATATCCTGTAGAAAGAGGACAAAGTCACAGCCAACCTTTCAGAAACATCCACAGGGGCCCCGTGTGTTTTCTGATGTTTGATGTGAGGGGCAATGCGACCGTCTCCAAAGCAGACCAATGCGTACCTATTGTAGTATGAATAGCCACGTCTGCTGCTCGCTTTCAAAGTCCTGATCAGTCAGCGCACAGGGATATGGAAACCATGAACTGGCCTCAAGGAACATAGTTCTACCATAACACTGTATGCTGTATTATATGAAAAAAAAACAAGGTAAAATATAGGCATGCTGGTGCATAAAAAAACAAACAGACCCCAGACATTTCTGCAGGGTGCAGTGGGCTGAGCTGGCAGTGGAAGAGTGCTATATAAACCCCAGTGTGGCATCTCTGATCCAGCATGACAGCAGTAAATCTGGATGGGGCTGGTGAGGACACTGGCAACACACAAGTACACAGCACCACTCGCACAGACAGCGCTGCAAAATTCAGCCTTTTTATTTCTTCATCAGTTTAAACTTGGTAAATCACATTTCAGCCCCCCTGCTACATCTTTGTAGCCTTTGAAGAGGAGCAGGTAAAAGAAGAGACAGAATTCACAAATATGTATCTCAGCTCAAATGAGAGCAATGACTGTTGTGATGAGCATCACTGGGGACGCTTATGATGAAGACAGACGAACAAAGCCTGCCAGCTCCACCTCTAACCCAAATACACACACAATCACACGCACTAATATGGTAATTTATAGCCTTATCGCAGCTAAACTGTAACACAACTAACCTTCCTCCAGTCACATACACACACTCGCAGACGGTGCCTTGGCACAGCATGGCACAGATTGATGCAACATGAGGCACCAACTTCAAATAGCAGAAGAGGACTCTTACTGGAAAGGAAGTGCTGCGATCCAGGGCCAAAGTCTCTGTGTGCATCCTGGAGCTGCTTCAGCCGCTCCTCTATCGAACCCTGAAGACACACAAACACACACATTCAAAGTTAAATCAAAGGGAATCGTGGTGCTCGTCCCTCTTCTCCAGAAATCCCCACAATAGAAATGTACACACACAGACCACCTGCTTCTCCTCCATTAGTTAACTGCTGAATATAAATTATGTCTTTTTTTTTCTCTGCTGCCCCTCTTGAAGGACTTTGAAAGTCTTTGAAGAGCAGCAGGTAGGAAATGAAGACAGAGATTACAGAATAATGTATTTTGTTGAAATGAGGACAGCGGTTCTTGGTTGCAGTGTCGGTGTGGAAAAGAAGAAGAACCTGAAAAGAAGATGAAATGGGAGAGAAAGAGTGGGGAAGTGCAAAGCCTTGCATGTGTTGCGTCAATAACCATGGAGACTGAATTGACAAAATTAAGTTTGCCATTGCCTTTGTAAAAACATTTCACATCAGTTATGTTTCCCACCAAATGGGATTTAGTCTGCCTAATCCTGGTTTATTTGAAAAGTATTGGATTTGGCACATGAATCATTGTCAGCTGGATGTTGAAATGCGTCCTCAAACAATGGGAGTTAAATCCACTCGCTGTGAGGTAGCGAGACAGATAAAGTGAGAAAAAGAAAAGAGAAAGAGCGACTTCAAAGAGAAGCACAGGCAATGGGTCGTAATGTGTGACGTTAGACGTATTAAGTTAAGCGTTTCTCAGTGTAAACGCATCATTGCTCCCTCACGAAGAAATAAAAAATATATAATCTGAAGCGTGATTTAAATTGCTTGGGACTAATATAGAGCATTGTCAATGTGCCGTGGAGATGTTACTGCCAACTGTGCTGTGTTGTACAATCTATTTGTTGTACAGGCAATTTGAGCTGCCATAAGGAAGACAAATGACTAAATTATCCATGATCGACAAATATTAGCAAATCAAATTTGGAAATACATTTTCCCAAACGTCAGAGAAGCCAAAATCGAGAGGGCACAGGATGTTGCTGGGATTTAGCATTTATCATTTTAATTAAGAGAGAAATGGGACACAGAGACGGAGACAAAGAAAAAGGTTTCTCCATTCTGCTCGTTTCTTTCTTGTCAAGCTGACACGTCTGCACGTCTTATTGCATTGAAATTAATAACGTGGATGAGCAGAGACAGCGAGGTGCAAGCGAGGCAGCTTAAAAAAAGGCTGAGGCGGTTTTCTCAAAAAAAACATTTGCAACACCTATCTCTTCACATGTCACTTGAACTCTGCTGCTGTCATGGAAAATCCAAGTGCAATCTAAGATGTGTTAGATAGAAATGTACTGGTGACCGTGGACACTGAAAGCCTTTTTCACCTATTGATCACAGGGCAAAATTTGAAGCTGTCACTTACTTCCTAAATCAAAGACCAGAGGACACGCTCAAGTGGCAACCTGAAAATAAAGGCCGACACATGAGCAGCAAAAATGGCATTTCTCTGGTGGCCACATTACGCAGGCTCCCCATCGAGCCTCAAGTTAAAAAGTTCAAATTTACAGAAGTGATAAACGTGTTTGTAGCCTGGTACAGAAAATAATTATGGTCTCTATAGTCCAATTTTACCAATCATGACAACCATACAAGGGCTGAGATTTTATAGAACTCTTCCATTTAAATTGTATTAAAAGTTCTGCCCAAATAGGGGCATAGTGGATCCATGGCTCAGAGATGTGTACATGGCCCACCTCAGCTACACTCATGCTTCCCCTCTGCTCATTTTCAGATTATCCAGGAGTTAAAGGGAGAACCCTTTAAGTAAACCTATGGATAACAGAGGGCTTGTCCTTCTTTGTATACAGTCTATAGACACACTACTTACTGCATCACACAGTTCACCAAATATTTAGCAGCAATTGTCCTCTGTAGGAGCTTTTTTCAAGTTCCAATGCAAAGGGACATCAATCAGCAGCAAGATAAGTCTCCATTTCAAGGCACTTTATTCTTATAATTTTAAAAGGCTTTATGAGGGGGAACTTTGAATTCATTTGAGAAGTGCTCTCTTCATGTAAGTACATGAGTTCAAATCTTGATTCACTTTCATGCACACTCACCGAGCACTTTGTTGGAAACACAATAAGAATTCAGGGTAGAGCCTCACTTTTCTCTGAGAACAGGCTCTACTCTAGCTGGCATGAACTTCACAAGATGTTGGAAACATTCCTGCATGCTGACAGGACTGAATGACAAAATTTCTGCAGATTTGTCAGTTGCACATTCATGCTGTGAAACACTTGTTCTATCACAAAGGTGTACTATTGGATTCAGATCTGGTGGCTGTGGAGGAAAAATGACCTTATTGCCAGGTCCAAGAAAGCCATTTAAGATGGGTTTTGCTTTGCAACACGGAGCATTATTATGCTTAAGATATGCACGTGGTCAGCAAACAATACTCAGACAAGCTGTGCTTTCAAACAATAATTGATTGGTATTAAGGGACCCAAAGTGTGCCAAGAAAATACGATGGTCTTTAAAAAGGTGCTCTGTTTTTCTCTCTAAATGTCCAGTTTTTGATGGTGTGTAAAAGTGTTAAATATCAATGCCACATTTTCCAGTTGATTCCTCTTAGAAGTTAAGAGGCTTTTCTATATTTTCTATCTGCAAAAGCTCTTAAATTTTCACATGCATTTCCAAAAGAACCACTTAAGAGAGTGCATATGCACGCTGGTAACAGCTTCGTAATGCCAGCTGTCTCCGCTGCTGAAGATGATGTCGAATACACTTATGCTGAGCTATATATTAAAAATACATACAAAATGTAAGTGCTGTAAAGAAGTCAAAGAAATGTTTTATACTTGTAAGTGTTCAGCACGGAAATGAAGCCTAATGAGCAGTTTAAGCAAGTAAACGTAATGATTTAGCTTCAGCTTGCTCTTAAACTTACATTAAACCTATAATAAGGCTTCTTCTAAGCTTTTCATCATCTAATGTAAATGTTCTTTTATCAGTTCTGTACCAGATCTGTGCAGCACGTGGCAAAATAAAAACCTACTTCCTAAATAAAAAAAGAAAACATATGAAGCCTCTAATATACAGTCAAGAAAGTGTCATTACAACTAGAAGAAATTAATATGATAAACTAGAAGAGAGATGGGAGGATGATGACGACAGGAGCAGGCAGCAAATTAATAAATTAATTACTCTGTGTTCGTGTCATTTGATTTTCCTTTTTAAATGCTATCATATCTGTTACATCAAACAACCCCTAACAAAGAGCCTCATTGTTAATGATGAAAGTATAGCCTTAAAAATGAACCAACACAATACAAATAAATTCCAGAGCTTATTAAGATTCTCTTATCCTCCTACAAGTAAGTAATAGGAGGCACTTATTCATCCACTGTCTTGTTTTCAGTTACAATGCTTTTGGGAAACAGCGCGGAAGCTTAAAAAGGTTCATTAAGATGCTTCTGGGAAACAAGGCTCTGGACTGAGTCTAAATAAATTCAGTAAAGTAGTTGTACTCTGTAACTAATAAGTGCAATTTAAATGATTTTCTCATCTCCTTTAACTGAGATCCTTAAAAAAAAAAAAAGAAAAAAAAAAAGCGAGTTCATCACAGGAATGAAATGAAAAAACAACAGCTGGTAGAAAACAGGTTCATACTGAGACTATTGATTTAAAGCTTCAGAAATTATATGTATAAATTTCAGATTTTCAGTGCAATGTCACTCATTCATTCACTGTGTGATGAGTTACTCGATATAATAAGCAGTCTGTTAATTGATTTTCACTAATGGCTGCCTGAGAACAAAAAAAAAACAAAAAACAAAACAACAACCCTGAAACTGCACAGCACGATTTAAAAACAATAAAGAAATAGTTCACTATCTTGGAAAATCAGCTCATTCTCTTTTCTTTCTGAGACTTTGTTGAGAAGATTGCTACCACTCTCATGTCTTGTACGGAGTCTGGAAGCGATTAGCTTATCATAAGGACTGAAGTCAGGAATAAGCTGAATACTCTTAGCAGTGCAACCACAGCTGACAAACTGAAACACACTGCATTTTGTTTAATCAATACGCAGACAGTATATAAAAATTACACTTTGTGGTACAGAGTTGCTGATTGGTCTTGTTGATATCTATTTTCTATCCATTATCTACACACCACTTAATCCTCATTAGGGTCGTGGGGGGCTGGAGTCTATCCCAGCTGATTTAGGGCAAAGGCAGGGGACACCCAGGACAGGTCACCAGTCTATCACAGGGCCACACTTAGAGACAGACAACCAAGCACACTCACATTAACACCTACAGATAATTTAGAATCACCAATTAACCTCAACATGTTTTTGGACTGTGTGGGAGGAAGCCAGAGAACCCAGAGAGAACCCACGCTGCACGGGGAGAACATACAAACTCCACACAGAAGATCCCAAGTGTCCTAACTGTGATGCAAACCGGCGACCTTCTACCTGGGAGGCAACGGTGCTAACCACTGATCCACCTTGCAGGCCTTATCTAATCCATCTACACTGAATCTAAACAAGCACATAGGCACATTTTCTGAAATGTTAAACTACTCCTTCACGAACTATACAAAGCCTGTGGCGTTTGCTTTCAGTGGCTGTAATAGCTGCTATGAGTTAACTGGGAGAATATCAGACTCCAAACATCTTCTGACCTCCCTCATAAATCGTATCAAAATTTCTCATCACACACATGGCCTTTGATCCATCTCCTAACACACACTGTTGTCTTTCACAAGCTCAAAAGATGCGAGAGGCATTAAACAGTTGGAAGCCAGAAGATGAGGCGCTATTAAAGCCTCAAACATTACTCGTGGAATCGCCCTCTTATGTCCTCTGTAAATTTCACTTCTGGAGATGCTGCTGACAATGTCAAACAGGCAGCACAGACTCAGCAGTGAACTCTACCTGAAGCACTTTCCATCTGCTGTTGAGATGCTCCAGGGCGCGGGCATTCTCCATCGACAAATGGACATCAGAGATCGCCAGCTGGTGGGCTAGATCATTGATGTGCTTCATGCCCTCCTTCACCTGGGTCAGCTCCTCCTTAAATAACTGCAGCAGCAAGACAAACAGAGGATCAAGGAGGGTGGATGGGAAAAAAAAAGAGCAGTGGAAAAATGAGAGGGAGAGAACAGATACAAAATAGAATAAATATAAAATAATGTCTGACACAGATGGTGTGAGAAGGCAGTTCAGAAATATCCCTTCTGGACCAACTCCTCTCTCATTAAATAACTCAGAAAAATCAACTGAAGCTTGATCTGTTGCAGCTTCAACTGTTTTAGAAACTATTTGGCAGCAACCGTGTATTAACATTCCTATAATCAAAGGGAAAGAATGCATAATGATATTGAACTAGCAGCAGTCTCTGTTCATGGTAGATTATCTGTGTAAATAATGAGGGAAACCGGGACATTTATGATCACAGGATGTTGGAGTATGTGGGCAGTTTATGTGTGCATATGATTGTCCATTTCCTGATGCCAGTGTCCCTCTCATTTCCCACAGTACAGTGTTTTCTTTATCATTTTTATGTTGAACTTTTACTGTAGACTGTTACAAACTTCACAGTGCCACATCTAACCTGAACTCAACTTGCATCTAAAAATGTCTAATAAAGACACCAAAGATAAAGAAGACATCATTCTAACAACTATGTTTTCATCATGTTTTTTTTTTTCCACAATTATTTCCCAACACTGATTTCTTTATTTGACAGTACAGAGAGGAGACACAAAATGATCAAAAAAATAAAAGATTGTAAGTGAATGTTCCAAGCAGCAATCAACAGAAGAAAGCTGTGAAGTCCAACAAACTCAGCCCAGGAACAGCCGGCAGTCGCATATCTTTCGGGAGTTACTTCTCTGCATATCTTTCTAATGGAGTCATTTCTCGAGCACATTAAAACAGTGTTCAAATACAAATGTTGCTAAAATCAAATTAAGCCTTCATGTTCACCATGATGGATGATCCACTGTAGCTTGAACTATTTATAACCCCGAGGAGGCTCTTCTTCATACTGTAAAGACCTGAAACTCACCAAGTGGCCTCTAATGATAATCCTGGGAGCTTCAGTTAAAAGCAACTGAACTTCTATTTTGGGTTCTAAAACACAAGTCCAGCTGTTTTTTAATGAAGCTCCCAGAATTCTCATGACCTGGATGACTGAGAATCTACACAGACTTCTGTTGATAGCAGCGGATAAATCCCTGATTACCGTAATTTCCGGACTATAAGCTGTCACTTCTTTCACACGCTTTGAACACTGCGACTTAAACAATGATGATTTATGGACTTTTCCGATTTTTGCAAATTTTTACCAAAGTGTCATTGAGAGTGACAACAAAAGAGAGACTGTGGAAGTGTGTGACAAAGTAATTCTGAGGCTGTTCAATTCTGACACTGAAGACGATTTTAGTGGCTTTAGTGCGCAGGAGGAAATGAAGATAGCGATCAATGGCTTTTACTGGTAGGCTATTGTATTCTTTTTTTTTTAGCCAGCCGTGTTACAGGCACTGTTTGGGAAAAAAACATTTACGGTGTATATGTGTATGGTACCGGTACGTATTTAAATAAAAGTAAAAAACATCTTTCTGTGTAAATATCTCATGTTACAACGTGGACACCTGTGGCTTATAGACAGTGCAGCCTATATATGTACATTTTTTGTTTACGTTTTTACATTACATTTGACATTTTTTTCTTACAAAAGAAAGATTTTGCTATACCTCCTTTATCATGTGGAGAGTTACAGGCAGCTTTGAGTCTATAATATTGTGCTAACACAAAGAGACAAACAGCTATGCACACTCATGCAACCAGGGGAAACCCACTTCTCGCTGCAAGGCGACAGTGCTAACCACAGCACCACCGTGCTGCTCTTTTCTCAGTTATATGTCATAGTAATGTATTTAGACTGTTGATCAGACAAAACAAGACATTTCGAGATGCAACCGTAGGATTCTGGGATGCTGTCATTTTCTGACAATTTCTGACATATAAATGCATTTAAGAACCGTGTTAAAAATAATCCATGGTAGCAGCTCTGAGTGCCTAATGTGGGTTTCTAATTGTGTCCTACGTCGATTCACGTGTCTGCTTTCAAATGTGCACACATGTGTGTGTAAACGCGAGCGATGAGGGAATACAGATGAGGCCAACTGACGGGCCTACCCTAAAGACTGAGCTGAACATGTGCTGGCTGTGACAGGAGTCCAAACACTGACATGATTATTGTGAAGTGCCCTCACTTCTAATGAATAGCGCCACACAATTACAGGCAACAGCAACAGCAGCAGCGGCGGCAGCAGTGGCAGCAGCAGCACTCGGCACTCCATAATGACTAAACCAATGACCTGCCATTTGTTTAACAGCATCTATTCAACTGAGGATTGTAACCCCTGCCATCTCATCGTGTCATTTTGAAGTGCCATGTCCTTGTCATCCTCTGTTAGATCACAGCCCCTCCGACAGGGATATGTACACAGGCAACCAAAACAAACATTTTAAAGCAACACAGTATGATAGAGATCTCTCACTTGTACATGTCTAACATATCATGGCTATGTTTTTGTGATTTAAAAAAAAAAGCTGGATGTCACCATTTTGATGTTTGTTTACAACGTGTCAAGAGTGTCATAATGTGTGTTTTTTCAGGGATAGCTGGAGGCGATTTTCTCAGAGGAGACAATTAAGTTACTCCACAGGTAAAACCAATTTATATCAGGGTTTATGATAATGTGTCTGCGTGTGTGCGTGTGTGTGTGTGTGTGTGTGTGTGTGTGTGTGTGTGAAAGAGACAAAGAGAAAACCAGAAAATAGAGGGTTTGTGCTGCACTGCGGTGTCCTGTGTGTGAGTCTATACCTTGGTAGCATCTATGTGGTCCTGCAGAGAGTCAATGAAAAGGTCTCCAACAGGCTCCCAGGCGTCTCTGACCCCCTCCGCCTGCTCCAGGGCTCCCGCCAGCTCCTCCATCGCCGCTTGGATCTGAAGAAGACGCTCCAATGTCCTCTCCATGTGTCTGGGGGGGTTTGTTGAAAATGCAGTTCATTACAGTTAACTACCTGATCCATTAAAATTTGGAACTAATTTGAGCTAGAGCTTAAAAAAAAAGAAAAGGAGAAAAATCAATCAAAATCCTCAGAGCATGCAGTCAAACACGCCATTTATCCAAATTTACAGACTGTCATTTTAGTAGGGCTGTGTGCATAATTGTGCATTCCATTCCATCAGTTCAAAATGCCTGTTTCCCTAAAAACAAGTTAGTGAGCTCTGAACTTTCAGGATCCAAAACTTGATAAATGTGTTTTCCTAATTGTTTCTGTAATGGATTACGGTTGCCACATTTTGTAATCAGGTTATGGTAATTGTATTGTGTGTTATATATTGCTGCATAACCCTGCTATGGATCAGCACACACATACCCACGAAGAAAATAACAGTCAACTGCAGAGCCCTGAAAGTCACATGCATTTTGTTGTTGTATGTTTTTAAAATAAACGTACATTTCCAACAAACATGGTCTCCTTTTTATGCCACGTATATTTGAACAGAATTCTCTCCCTTCTTTTCTCTACTGTTGCACACAACCAAAATAGACTGTAGACTGACTGTCCATAGCATTTACACACAAAAACAAAAAGGAAAAAACTAACTACTCTAAACAATAAATAGACAAAATCAACAATCTTTCAGTCCTTGACACAAATACCGGACAATTTATATTCAAGAAAAAAAAAAAAAAAACAATTCATCATTCCTGAACAAAAATAAACCTTTTTTTTTTTTCTTGTAAGAATTTAAACAGTGGGCTCTGGGGTGAATTTGTAACAGCATGGGCTGTAAAATTAGTCTAATTCACTGATGTCCTATAATTATAAACTTCAATAAAAAATTAATCACCAAAACTGGGGTTCCAAGGCTTTTTAGAGGACAAAAATGCTGCCGTTTTGAACGGAAATTTGCCTGAAAATCTTCTAACAGTACTGACCTTGATTATAAATCTTACATTACCATTACTGCTTAAAACTTCTCTCCATTCACAATAACCTCTAAAATCTCCTTTTGCAGTTTACAACATTAGCGCCATGGTAAGACAGAGTACAGAAACCCAGAGAGAGAAGAAGCAGTGGAATACTTTACTGAATGGAGAGGATGAATATTAACCCATTCCTTCAACATTCTACTTACTGTAAGAAAGAGAGCCAGTAAAATGGACTCATTACGCAGAGAACTGGCTCATGTGAGTGACTTCTTTTATCATATTTGATAGCATTAAATTGTTAATACAGATGCATCAAAGAGTAATCAGCTTTTTAGTGCTGTATCTGATAAAGATGGAATCCCTCCAAAGGGTCACAAGATAAATCTGTGGATTTGTGAGATGATTAATGGGGTTAGAAAGAAAAAAGAAAAAAGAAGTTGTGCTATACAAGTTTGAAGGCTCTAATCTCTCTTTTATCCCCCGGGGGCCTCAATCAATTATTAAAACGACAGTAAGTTCAGAGGGGAAATGTATCTTTGGTGGAACTTCTAACAACTAGATATCTGCAATGTGACAAGCTGTCAGATAAATGTGGTGGATTTTTCCTTGAAATTTAGCAGACTAGAAGTATAAAGTTGCAAGCATAGTGCAGGTATCTCAAAGTCACAGTTAAATTGTAAAGTACCTCAGTAAATTTACTTTCCAGAAACCATTGCAGGACGCACGCCACTGAATAAGATCTATACAATGCTTTAAAAGAAAGTGCCTGACCTATGGCGGTCCACACAGCGAGCTGTCAGCTTTTCCCACAGGTCACTGGCCACGTTCGCCTGCTTCCATACAGAGCGGCTCACATTCAAGATCCGCCGGCGAGGAGACACCTCTGCAGAAGGTGGAAGAGGTTAGATGGGGTCATGCAGGGGTAAAAGCATAAAGGTGGAAAGGAACAAGTAAAGAAAAAAAAAGAGCAGACAGAGAAATAACAGGGTGGAAAAGAAGGGCAGGGGTTAGAAGTCAGACAGGAGAAGAGCAATGATTTGAGAAGGATGGTTTAAAACTCAATGAAAAGAAACACAGAGGGATAGAGAGGAGGAAGCAAAACAAGCTGGAGAACACAGTAAGGTAGTTTGCTACAGTTATTCCCCCGGTGAGCATCCAGAGGTGAGAGCCAAACATTACGTTGAGGACGTGACGATGGAGAAACACATGAGAGTGCTGTATTATTGATCTGAGCAGATGGTACTGGAGGGCTGGTGAACTGGAGCTAATTGGTCCCGACCCGGACACTTTCCCTAAACTCAGTGTGACACCAGAGGACGGATCACTGCTAATAACTACTAATGGAAGATTTCACCTGCATGGGTCCTACCAAATGAACTGTGTGCTTCAGTTGAGGGGGTTTGTGAATATGACATTTTGGCTGGCGCAGCAGTTGGCACAGACTATGGAGGGAGCAGACCTTTTCCATCAGTCAGGGTCTCCTCTGGCTCCTGGAAGGGGTGCTGAGCCAGAAAGGCCTGGGCAGACTCCAAGACGGAGTAGATAAACGGCCCGCGAGACTTGACATCCTCCATGAATGCCTGCGGGGAGACGGAGAGGGTAGAATTAAAGATATAAGCTTATTCCAAACTCAAGGGCTGGTCCCTGGAAAGGATGTAGAGAAGGATGAGTCATGTAGGTTAGACTGAACCACTCCGCCAATGAGAAAACCTCATCCAAACACAGACTAACAATAATGGTGCATTCCAGTGATAAAATAAATTAATACACAACAATTTTCATGATCAAATAATGTTTAATATTTCAATAAAAAAAGGGCAATCATTAGCTGCATGGTTCCAGCATCTTAAATGAAGACTTTGCTGCTTTATGAATGCATTATGTTGCTGTAAATTAAATATTATTGGTTTTTCCACTGTCTTTACATCAGTTGCTTTATAGTAGAGTCCCTGGACTCTGGGAGATTATGATAATCACTTTGCACTATCAAACATTTAGACTAAACCCTGTTTCAGCTCATTGATAAAATAACCTACATGTTAATCAGTAATGAAAACGTTATCAAAGCTGCTGTCTCTATGCGTTGAAGCAGCTCCTAATCAACTTCTAATGCTAAATATGTATAGGTGCATCAAAAGGAAGCTGCCCTCAAAGGACAGACAATAAACACATGCAGACTGACCATCATCATCATCATCATCGCTTACAACACAGACTATGTTATTGTATACATCTGTGATCATATGCTGTCTATACAGATGTACAGTATACACCCCTGTGCAAAATCACGTATATGGCAAATTATATCAGATTGCATCACATTTCAGTAACTGCATTATTTCTAAGTTGACAAATAAAGTATTTCCTCCAATCAGAAACAAATACATTAAAAAGCCCATATTGAAAATACAAGCTCCAAAGTAGAAATTCAACAAGAAAACACCTGTGATCACTAATACACAAGTTAGAAAACCTTTGATCTCAACATTGAGTCCAGCTGTGTCCCAGTTAGTTTGATTGCATGGACATGGTTATTAATTGAGCTGTGAACACCAGAACCTTCTCAGTTTTGGACCTATTGGTTATGCCACTCTACATGTCTGTATCATGGTTCCACATGGAAAAGAATTGCTGGACAAATTCCAAAATCTGATTGTGGGACTTTACAAAGACAAAAAAGGATACTGGAAGACTAGCAAAATAATCTGTCTGCAGCTGGAAATAGGGGATATTGAACAAATCATAGTACCACGAATCAGAGCCGCAATGGCTGTCATCCTAAAATGTCTGAAGCACTTTCCTGTCCTGAAAAACAGACGGGCAAGTGCTTCAGACTTGGCACAGAGGACATCAGTGGAAATTGTTTCTGTGACAGCTCAGACAGAGTGAGGGACAGTGCATATTGTGAACCCCTATAGATAGCATAAAAAAAGGAAAAGGAATAAAAAGAAAAACTTTGCCTGTTCTTTACCACTAAACTATAACATTAAACTTTGTTAAAAGACATGAAAAGAAGCCTGGTGAATATTGGCAGCACATTCTTTTGTCAGATTACACCAACATAAACTTGTTCTAGGGTCCAGCCTGTGTGGCATCGGTCTGGTCAGGACCACCACAGTGAATACATAGTCCTGAGAGCGAAGCACAGAGATGGCAGTGTGATGATGTGGGGCTGCATGAATGCAAAAGGGTTTGAGGAGATGACATTTATAGATGGTACCACGAATGCATATGGATATTCCAAAAAAACTGGCTGACAAATTAACTCCCAGTCTGTAAAAGCTTGGCAGACAACCTTGTTATCATGCTGGAATATTCCAGCACACTGCCAAAATCACACTGGAGAGTCTAAAGGGGAAAAAAGTGAAAACCATGACCTTGCCAAGGATGTCGCCTGATTTATATCCAACAGAACAGAAGAGAAAGGTAAAGCAACACAACTCCAGAAATCTGGCATCTTCCATGCTGAGGATTGAGTGTCATCAAAAAACAAACACAAAAAAACAGGTAGGCACGCAAAGTATCAAAAAAAAAAAAGTTAAATATAATAATAAAATAAAAGTTGTACTGACTGTTGTTGCATTGAGTCTCTACTGTGGGACCAGTATTTTTAATGCTACACTGCTGGTTTTTCAATTCTACATAAGAACAGATATCCTAGAGTTCAACTTAGGAGTAATGTAATAATTGACAGGTGATACAACTTTGAATTGTTTGACATTTAAGCGATACCGTGCAGGAGTGTACTCACTTTTGTTGTATCCTTTCAATTAATGTCTATATTGAGTGTTTCTCTTTCCAAATTGGGGTGACATATGCTGTACACATTTTCAAGCCCTGCAGCAAACAAGTATTTTTCCACTGAAGAACACCTGACTTGAATTAATTGGCTTTTTTTTGTACCATCCAATGATTCACAGCATCGTGGCCTTTTCAGTGATGCACTTAAAGTGATGTATTAACTGATGTTACTGATGACCATCTGAATGAAAAATACCTGTTATATAAAATGTGGTGATGCAATATTTCCAGTTTTTCAAGTCAAGGATTGCCTAAAAACACCACTAAGCAAGTGAGCAACATAATGTGAATTGTTGGTGAAATGTTTTCTGTCCTAACTTGAGTTACATCAATAGAAAGATATTAGAGTAAAGGAAATGCATAAGCATATATATGACACATGTGAGAGTACCATCCACATGACTGGAAGGACCCAAGGTTTCTTAGCAGAACATTACATTACAATGAGACGATCGAGTCATTCATTCGTTCCACAAAAATTAAGTCTGACTTATTTTTGGCCCATTCCTAAAACTGGTTTATTTAGCAAATAGACATTATTTTTGTAATCCCAACTGACCTAAAACAAGAAAGGTTTAGTCTGATTTAATGTCAGACAGTGAGAAAAAAAAGGTTATGTGTCTTTTTATACAGTGTGTGTAAACTTCTGTTTTCAACTGTATATATAGAGCTACAATGCTTCTTCCAGGGCTGTCTACGGGTTTGGGCTGGGGATCAAACACTTAATCCCTCAATTAGTAAAATAAAAACATATTGTTACTGAAAACCCAACCTACTGCCAGAGCCACAGCTGTTATGGTCAGTGTTACTAATTTATGGTTTATCTCTATAACACTGGCACAACAGATGCCTCATCCCTCAGAAGCATCCCTCCTACTGATCCAATCTAGGACCAGATAGCAACAAAGAGGAAACCATCGTTCTTTACATAGAGTTCATTTTAGCTTTGTGTAACAGAATTTAAACATACCTCAAATCTGACTGTGAGTTAGGTCAAGTTAGTTAAAGTTTATCTATATGAAAACAGCTCGAGGAACAGTTCAGTTTTGTTCACTTCAGTTTATTGTTATTCAGACATAAAAACACGAATAAACAAACTTTGTACTCAGGTCCAGCAGCATACAGAAAAAATAACATTCTGCAGTAAAATGTAAGTTAGTTAGAAAGTACACCAGTCGCTGGTAGCTGAGAAGTCACTGCACTGCTGCAGCCATCTTCAAGACTGAAAGAAAGACTGCAGCAGTGAAACCTCTGAGTATTATATGTGTAGTCTTGCTTAGACATTACACCATGCCACACAAGCTGAAGAGCAAACATATTCAAGAAACAGAAAGTGGCATATATGGAGGAAAACTGGACAACTCGAATGCATGGGTTACACATAGCAATCACTGCATACACACACACACACACGTAAACACACATGCACAGACACAATGGTAGTGATCTACTGGCAGAAAAACATGAAATTACATGAATGCTTGTGCTGAAAGCCCAGGGCCCAACAGGAGACCAAATCCAGGGGGAGGACTGGTCATCTGGCCTCCAAGCACACAACAGCCAATTAGCTGGAGAGCCCAGCTCCACTGGTCCACATTCAAGAGTACTCCCTATGCAAATTGCAAACGAGGAGCTCAGTGTGTAGGAAAGACACACACAGACATATATATATATATATATACTGAGCAGAAACCCAGAGCCTCCCCGGGGCCTCCAAGAAAGCCAGTGCGTCAACCTTCTCCGTTCTTCTGTACTAATCTTTGTTCTGTATTAAACACACTGCAGGTGTGAGAATTAATGCCAGGGATATTCTCGCTCTTCAAAGTAATTTATTTAGGTGAAGCCAGCGTTCTCAATCCTCTTACGGTATAAAGAGATTACAATTTCAGCTATAAATCTACACTACTAGTTGGAATTAGTAGCATTGTGAACCACTGCAGTGACAGTGCTTCAGTGTCTATAAAAGTCCAGGACCAGAGCCCGGCAGGCCCGATAACATCCGGTGAGCAGAGTGAAACAGAAAGCCCCAGATGAAACACCAGTGAACATACAAAAGTGTGTGGCAGGATGGGGAGCGGTGGTCTGAGATAAGATTCCCAGTGCAACAGTCATGAAGAAAACCTTGTGCCTGTCTCACTCATCCTTCTCTCTCTCACTCTTCCCCTAATCACAGATTCCCTCCTCAACCTCACATCCTCGCCTCCTTCCTTCCCTTCACCCTGTTTTCATCTTCTCTATTCTCTCCATCCTCTCTTTAGCTGCTTTGCTGCCCAAAGAGGAGCTGAGCCATGGATTCCCTGAGCCAGCTGTCATGTTAAGACTTTAATTCCAGCTAAATTTCACACTCAGAGGCTTCGTCTTTGGTTGAAGGAACATTAAGAGCGAAGCCATCAGATCAGATTAAGATACATTATGCATAGAGGGGGAAAAAAAAAAAGCCAAGAGGAGGAAATGACTTCATTGACTTGGTCTAAACATGTTGATGGCTTCCCTTTGCATGCTCCGTCTCAGTGTGTATCTGACAACACAGAGGCTGGAATACTCAGTCATCCCAAACACCCACAATCATATACTTAAAAACATATTTTACCCCTCTATTACCACACCAAATGCACGCACAGTAAACGTGCTTCTGAACCGAGGTTCATGTAGATGTTCACACACACACACACACACACACACACAAATGTAGTACAGCGGGAGCTACACTCACACAACGACATCAGAATAAATCCACTTAAGATCAATAATTCACATTTCTTAAAACGCTTTAATTCTC